TTAAATATTGCATAGTTTCTCTTATATAAGTAATCCAAATAATAAAGAAGGAGCCAAATAAAAGAGAGGTAATAGGAAGTAGGGAGATAGAACTTTCTCACATGGAAAAGGGATCAAGAGATAGAAGGAGTGGGGAGAAAAGGAGGTAAAGTGGATGAAAAGAGGAATTAAGATGTGTATGTGCTAAATCCATACGAAGAATGTAAATATTATACATTGCATACATGTACTAAAAAAAGAAAAAGTACTAAGTTCCATGGCTGGCACAGGTAATAATGCAGTAGATGGTAATCATTTCTCAAACCACTTTCTATTTATAAATTAATAGATCCAGAAAAATGTCCTATTACCAATTATGTGAGGATCACGTTGAAAAAAGCTAAAATATTTTGCAATTTAAAAAAAGATATGGGAAGCATAGGGGAATGAAAATAAGGGAAAATAAAAATATGAGAAAAGGAAAAAATGGAAACAAAGTCTTTGTAAATAGGGAAGGGAGGAGGGGGTGAAGGGAGGGTAGGGATAAGGGGAAAAAATGAGAACCAAGACCTGTCATGTAAAGGTAAAAGATCCCAATGATGAATGTCTCTGTACTGTATACTTAAAAAGTACCAATAAATTCAATTTTTTAAAAAAAGATGTGATAGGCCAGGGATTTAGCTCAGTGTTTCTGCTGCCTGCCTTGCAAGCACAAGGACCTGAGCTTGATTCCCGGTAAAAAAAAAAAAAAAAAAAGAGAAGACATGTAGTCTCACTTAAAAATAAAAATAAACTTAATTATGCATAGAAATATTTTAGGTGGTGAAAGGGAAGAAAAAGAACTTCAAATAGACTTTCACTTGTTAATGTAGATAATTTTAAGATGCTAAACATCATTAAGCTCTACTAATAATTTAACATGGAATACATTCACCTTTTTTTAACCATACTTTAACTAGCACAATTTACTTCTCAATATTTTTCCATTAGTGTCCAAATTCTATTGAGGATTAGGTACAATTATATCTCAAGTATAAGAAAATAATCATTTATTTTCAGCAATAATTTTAGTTGGTGTTTAGTACATCAGACTCTTTTTAAGATTTTTTTATAGACTAGAGTATTGATTTGAAGTGAGATTCACCACAATCAATGATAGATAGAAAAAAATCTACAACATCCATAATACTTTCCGATGTAACTGTTAAATTTTAATAGTCTTGTTGCTTTATTGTTGTCATTATTACTTTTAAAAATTTACTCCTCTTTATTCTAATGCCTTTTCCCAAAATAATGCCATTGCCTTTAACACTCATCACTCTTCTGACCCATCTGCAAACATAAGACCGTTAATTGACTTTGGCATTGAACAGTACTTTATCCTTATGTATTTTCCAAAGCCATTCCCAGAAACAATGAACTGCTCCCAAAGCTCTGCAATGTCTATGGGTGATTCAGCAACCTTCAGTATTTCCAGTCCAGCACTGCTGCAATACGCATGTTCTATTATTATCCATTTGCCAATAATTTTTTAAAAATTATTTAGTGTTTTAAAAAATGAATCAATTTCTTCTCATTTCTCATTTCTCTCAGCAGAATAAAATCAGGAGAGTGAGAATTTCCCTGTTTCAATTCTTCTAATACCAGAATTAGGAGACTAGTACTTAGAAAATGAAATATCTGTTAGATAATTTCTGGAAGCAAGAAATAGATAAAATCTTACACAATTATCTTAAAATTTATTTTTCATAATTTCATATAACTCATAATTTTTTTTTATTGAAAACTCTAGCTCAAGGAATAAGAGCAATTCTATGTGGTTCAGTAAAATGTCCAAAAATTTCTGGTATTTCAAATACAATAAACTATTCATTCTCATATTCAGCTAATGTATAAATGTATTCAAGCCCACACTGAAATGTTTGTGATTTAACTTACTTTCTCTTCCATATTCAACAGAGAGGCTTATTTTTTTTTTATTGAAAACTCTAGCTCAAGGAATAAGAGCAATTCTATGTGGTTCAGTAAAATGTCCAAAAATTTCTGGTATTTCAAATACAATAAACTATTCATTCTCATATTCAGCTAATGTATAAATGTATTCAAGCCCACACTGAAATGTTTGTGATTTAACTTACTTTCTCTTCCATATTCAACAGAGAGGCTTATAACCAAATTATAATAAATATTAAAATTAATAAATCATAATGCCCCAAAATAAAATTGTACAGAATCTTCAAGAAAGTAGGCTTTATGGCTTGACTTGCTTAGAAACATACTAGTTACCAGAATACTAATTAGTTGCTAGCTGAAAGTTAGAAATTACCAAGTCACGCCATCAGTTTCAGAGCACTTATACTCCAGCAGAAGTTGCATATAGATATATGTCACCTATTTTTTTTTTTTTGGTAAAAAACTTCCTGAAACTCATGAAACACTTTTTTCTCTGGTGATTGTACTACAACGATCTGTCATCCTCACATCACAGATTTACAGAAAGAGTATATCTTGCTGGCCCCTAGTAGCTAGCTGGAGACACTCCCAATGGAATATCGGTGGGAAAGATAGGTATCACTTCCATAAATTATGTTATACAATCCTCCATGGAGTCTGTCTTTCTGCACGCATTGACTAAACAAATAAAGAGACTCCATCTGAGAATTCCACGCACAACCAGGGTGTGGCAATGCCAAAAGAAATGTTCTGGACAAAGAGTTTCCCAAGAGAACTTCATGAGTCACATTGAGGCCATGAATGAGAGGGAAAAAATACTTTGCATTTTTGTGCCTCCAAGATGATAAGCTCATGCTTTCCAACAACTAGCTTAATAATTCTCAATGATCAATGATTGTTTTTATCACTAACCTGTGTTGTAAAACTAAGGCATATAAAGCTTTAGCATGGAGAGTGGAGTTTTAGGTCCTAATGCTAAAAGAGACTCAGATTCCTCCCTTTATAAATTATTTCTCCTGAAGAATTTTTCTGATCATGTTTTTCACTAGGTGTTCTGCAAGGATGTAGTTGTTATTGAAAATCATGTAGCTATATTTGACCTTAATTTTATGTGATCTAAAAAACTGGGTAATCAATTGTAAAATAGTTAGCTCCCATTTATAATATAATGCATATCAAGTAACAGGCAAAACTTTAATTACATAAAAACTTCATTGAAACCCTATAAGTTAGATATTATTGTATCCATTTTACATATAAGAAAATAAAGTCATAGAGCACAAATACAATCCCGATTAGTAAATTCTAACATAAACATTTAATCTTAAGTCTGTGAATGCTTAAACTATTAATTCTGATAAGCATAATTAAGTAGCATCTTTTGGGGGGGGTACCAGGGATTGAACACGGGACCTTGCGCTTACAAGGCAGGCAGAGGCACCACTGAGCTAAATCCCCAGCAAGTAGCATCACTTCTACAATGGTTCAAACATTAATATGTGACAATATATGATCTTAGTTTCACGCTAACCTGTGGGAGCCGCTCCCCTTTATGTAAGGGTTGTTTTTATTTCTTCACTATGTTCTCGATAAAAGCAATTTCCATATAGCTAGGTAGGATATATTTTCTTACGTTATTGATTTGTAATAATCTCCTATCATATGGATATAATTTTTACACTTAAAATATTTTATTATAGAAGATTTAAAGAAAACATATGCAAAAAGTTAAAAAATTGTTTGACTCACATATATCCATCAAACAGCTTCAACAATTATCAAATCATGGGCAATCTTGATTTCTATATCATTCTTCCCAATCCCACTACAGATTATTTTGAAGTAAACCAAAAATTTCAAATCATTTCATTTATAAGGAGAATATGCAACATCTTTTAGATAATATCTCTGAAAGATAAAAACACAAGTAAATATAATTATAATGTTATCATACTTTATAAGATTAAAATAATATGAGTAAAAATATAAAGTATTATTTGCATGTTTGCCAAATAATATATATTGTATATATATGTTCCAGACCCATCAGAATATCTTAAATTTCTATCTAATAAATTTATACAGCTGTGATTCCTAAAAATCAAATTCCTCAATTATTTTTCCAGTAGCCTTTAAATTGGCTGTTATCTAAAACATTTTTGTTTAATCACTGTGAATTTTAAATTTATGCTGTTAAAATTTTACACTTCATATTATTGACAATTATTGACACTTATTAATGCAGTTATTTAGAACTTAATATTTATAATGTCTGTATTACCCACAATGCAACAGAATTAACTTACTCCAATTTATTAAATTCTTCCTAACAATGTCCATTTTCTAAGTGCAAAAGCTAGAACTTGGAGAAAATTACTAATTACAAGGAGTTAACCAATAAGCACATTAATAATTCCACGAAAACATGTTGGGACTTTTGAACTAGAGGTTAAGGTTAATAATCTGTTCTAGGTATCCTGACTCTATCTAGGTGTCTGTACCTTACTATCCTTGTTGTTACAAGGGGAATAACACAATAATAAACATTCTTGTGTGCCACACTGAAATTTTGCGAGAATTAAGACTCAGAAAAGACTTCAGAGTTCAGTGAGAGCAAGCACTTTAGAATATAAACACCATGCAATTATTCTTATTTCTGTGAGCTACAAAAATGCTAGCAAGAAATGGCGTGATTATTGTTATATGCATTAAGCCAAATAAGAAAGCAGGCTAGTAGGGAATCCCAACAAAGATAAAAATTACTTTGACCAATCCTTCCTTCCCTCCAGCCACTGAAAGAAATTATTTTTATAGCCATACTAAATGGTACCCTAACTTCCTTTCATTTTGCTTAAAGTCTGTGATACAGGAATTGTGCTTAAATGAAATTTCCATCAGCTTTTACATATTAAAAAAGCAAGTTCATTTTAATGCACATATTGAACATTAAATCATTTTTTGCTGCAGGTTATTGCAAGTAAATAGTAATTGTAAAATAGATTCTTTTTGATGAAACAAAATGAAAATAGACTGCTAAATGCTCACCTTAGATTTTCTCATCATTTCATTAACAGTTCAACTAGGAAAGGTATTTTTGTAGTGACGGGCAAGAAAATCATACTCATCAATATACATCCATATGCATATGTTGTTACAGTGACTGTGGTACCTTAAAAGAACAGAAATATATGAAAATGTGTATGCTTCTTAAAAGTGATTTGTAAGAACTATTTTATCTATTTAACAATTGAGTTGTTTCTTTATCCTAACACTAAATTCATTAAAAAATAACCAAAGTTAAATAACAACCAGTTTGCATTTACACAGACTTGTCTTTTTAAGAAACAGAAATTTCAAAAATAAAATTAGTGGAACAGATTTGATTCCTAGTGGAACAGCTACAAACTTCTGTCCTACTTTTGTGTCAGCTGTAGACTCAAATCCTCTCTATTACCATTTATTCTTTGTGTATTCATGAAATATTTTTAATCCAACTCATATATTTCTACATACGAATTGTCCCCAAGCCTAAATTAAACAAATTATGCACTTTAAAATGTTGTAAAACTGTAAAGATTCAGACTACTTTAAATAAGAGAAGAAAAGCAGTGGTACTTTTAAAAGGACTGTCTCAGCTGGTGTAGATAGGGAGCTGAGCCTGCCACTGCTGAGCTTGCATTGCCCCCTATGGTTGCTATCTGACACTTCCCAGAGAAAAGACGCTACACGTTCTGCCCTGACTTTGCAGAGGCACTTGGGCCTATGTTTTTAGTTTAAGCTCAGTTCTGAATTAAACACTTTGTGCATGATAGCATCAGTTCAAATTTTAAATTTTGGAAATTTATATACTTGATTTCAATTCTTACTAATTCAGTAAATTAACAATGTGTCATCAACTTTACCACCTTATTATCAACCTTCACAAATTCCTAATAAGGGTGGGGATGGGGGGAAGAAGGGAAGAGAGAGTAAAAAGATTTAAGATGTATCAATTACATGTACCAAATACCCACAGTGAAGGTAAACATTGTATGTCATAAACCCAGAACTAAAAATAATAATAGTAACAATAAGAATGAAAATGGGGGAAAGGGATTTAGAGGAGGAATGTGAGAGGTGGGTGGGAAGGGGAATAGGGATTAAAAGAAAATCAAGCTGGGTTATGAATATGCACCTACTACTCCTCAAGATGAATATAAACTTCGTGTACTGCAAACATGTACTAATGAAAAACAGGAGACCACCTTTTCTTTTGTCTCTAGTTTTACCGTCATTTTGGTACCATCAGCCCTGAGATGTGGCACACACTTGGCACACACATCTGTGCTTTTACTTGTGGTCCAGATGGTGGCCTCAGTGGAACAAGAAGCTGTGTCTCATGCTGCTGTTCACCCACACAGTGATGGCAGAGTGCTGGACCCAGAGAAGCTGCTCTGTCAAACTAAGTTTATGGACATATCCTCTTGAATTTTTTTTATTATTGCCTTAAGTCCAGCTCTTTATAAGCAGAACTCAAGAAAGCAAAATAGTTGCACAGATGTATTGAAAGTGTGATGCTCAGGCAAAGCCTATGAAGGAGAGAGAACAAAAAGATGGGCAGTAACTGAACACAGATGTAGTCTTAAGTAAAGTCTAGCCTTGGCTTGATCCTTAACTTGGGTGAGACAGTGAGTATGAAATATAAATTGCACCACAGAAACACCCCTTTCTGAGTGAAAAGGGCATATTTTTCAATTTTTTTTCTTGAGCTGTGGCCATGCCTAGACGGCTAATCATGGTATAAAGTCCATCACTAGGAGTGATGGTGAGTGGGCCATTCCTATTTCCACCTCTTCGTTCTAAAATCTATATGCATTAATGTTTTAGGGCTTTCATAAACAATGCCACAGATTGGGTGGTTTCAATGATAGAATTTATTTTTTCACATATCTGGAGGGTAAAATTCTAAGGAATCAAGACACTGGCAGGGTTGGTTTCTCTCGGGGTCTCTTGTTGACCATATTCTCTCTGGTCTCTTCTCTATGTGTGTGTACCTCGGGTATTTTTCCTCTTCTTCTAAGATACACTGGATTAGGAACCTATCCTTCTGACCTCATTTAAATTTAATTACCTGCTAAATCCCTGTGTTCCAAAGCACATTTGGAATTAGGGCTTCATTATATGAATCTGAATTTATAGGGGATACACAGTTCAGTCCATTATACCATAAAGTCTACCAATTTATGAAGTAGCACCACATAGTGAACACTGGTTTAAGGAGTGAAACACATTTTGAAATGCAACTCAACCCTTCAAAGCATCTTCTTCTTCCACTGGTGCTTCAGCTACATCTTTGAAATTCCTTTCTACTACTCTAACAGCACAGAAAATTTCAGGATGGAGCACTAGGTGGTAGGGCAAATGTCCCCACAGTCATCTTACCATGTCTCTTTTTACTTTGCCCCAAAAATACATCTCCTGGTCTCAGATATTATTATTTAGAATCTCATTCCAGTAACTCAAATACTCCATAGGCCTATGAACGTGGTCAGTATACTTTAAGAATGGAAGGTGCTCATGACAAACTCTGACTCTTTCAAGAAAGAAAAGGTCCTACAAAAACAAATTTTATCAAGTAGCTCCTTGTTCCCTTTTGGGGATGGTATGACATAATACCCTAGTATTAGTCTCTGTTGCTGACAAATTAGGCACTGGCAGCTGCAATTAATTACATGGGCCTTGGTGAGACATAAGACAACTTTCAGCCATACATAGAATCCATCACTGCTATCATTGCTCCTTCATTCATATACCACTGTGCCATCATTTTTATGATCATGGACAGAGACTGCCTAACAAAAATTGGCCAAATTATGATATCCATTTGGTTGAGTGCCTCTTTTACAGTGGACTTATACTACTAGTATGCAATAAAAAGGGCTTCTTGCTTCATTTATACTCTAGATTCATCTATATGTCTTCTTTTAAAATCCCATGCTCTGATACCACAAAGCTGCTCCTTAGATTCTTAACTAACAGTCTAAATTATTTATCTCTGCCTATGAATCGATGAATGTTGCTACCTCAACCTGTTTCTCTTTTTGTACAAGACAAAAACCAGAAGCATGCTCAAATCTCTACCAATTGTTGCTTTCTTTCTTTCAACACAGTCTTTCAATGCCACTGCTGGGTGGAAATAAAATGCATGAACTACTCATTTTAAAGTTACATCTACAGGCCAGGCCAAAATTAATCTATTAACAAGCTTCTATCTCATGTTCTACCTCCTTTTCTAAAAATTAATTTTACTGGTACATTTTGGATATACAATATAATGACATTCATCACTGGAAATTTGTATCTTTACATAATATATGTTGGTTCTTATTTTTCCCCATTCCCCTGCTCTCCCTTCAACCTTTTCACCTCTCCCTATTTACAAAAACTTTGTTTCCATTTTTTTCTTTTCTCATATTAATACCAATCCCTTATTTCCTTTCCCTGGCCCCTCCTACTTCCCCTTCCCATTTGCCCCTTTTCTTTGTATTTCACATTATCCATTATACCTTTTGATCCTTATTTACATTTTGTTTCTCACAGTAAAGAAAATGTTTGGTATTTACATGTGTGTCCTATTTATTTCACTTGAGTGTCACCTCAATGTGCATTGATTTAGCTATAAATATCTCTAATTTCTCATTCTTTATATTTCAATTTTATTTTTTAACAAACCCTCACATTTTCTTTATCCAGGTTCCAGTTGATGGCCAATTGGGTTGTTTCCGAGGTTTAGCTATTACAAACTGTGCCACTATGAACATGGGTGCACATAAATCACTGTGGTATGCTTTTATTTATTTTGGGAAGATAACCAGTAAGGAAATAGTTGGGTCAAATGGGACCTCTAATCCCAGTTTTTTAAGGCATCTCTATGCTAATTGCTATGAGGATTGTATCAGTGGAGGGCCCTTATTAGTCAGCTTTCCTATTGTTGGACACAATACCCAATGCTCACAATTTAAAGGAGTAATGGATTAATTTAGCTGGTGAATCAGGAAAATTCAGCTCATGATCAGCAAGCTTGAGGATAAAAGCTTCATGAAATAAGAGCATGGCAGAGATAAGCTGCGTAGTCCCTGGCAGGCAGGAAGAAGAGGAGTGGAACAGTGGCATGGAGAATCAGTGAGGGCCTTTAGATAGTATCAAGACCATGGCTTCTCTGACCTACTCAGACACACCCAGGATCCTGTTCTATTAATCTGCTATGTGTTTCTTAATCCAATGAAGTGAATATATCTGGATTCGTGGCCACAGATCACCTGGAAGTATGCTCAACTATAGTATTTAGAATATAGGCTGTTTATAAGGAGTTCCTCTTGGGATTAAAAAAAAAAAGGACAAAAAAATCTGGGAAGAATAAGTCAAATTCTAATGTAGACTTACCAACCTTTTAGTGATCTCTACATAAATTCTACATAAATATCACTGGTAGATAGCTAAAATGACCCTGCAGAATGAGGCTAAAATGACCAGAATTTATACCTTCACTGATTGTTAAAAGGTGTGACTATGGGTAAGACAGCTACTCTCTACAGCTCAAACAGTTCTTGAAAGATATGAAATGTGAAGAATATCATTTGATAGCACCCCTAGTATTGAGTTTTCTACTAAAGAGAGAACTGAAAAGTGTATCAGCGACCATCAAAATGCCCTTAATATGAGGTTAGAAAGCTTGGTGCATCAGTCATAAGGAATAGCATCTTCTGAAATCCTTAATTACCCAACTCCAATGAGCTCTCTAGACCTGATTGAGCTTATATACCCTAGAGGTATCACTTCCATCTTGTAATGGACCAAGGCTGAGCCTACCCTATCCAGTGTTATGACTTGTGGTCTAATATTATTCAGTTAATGCCGAGAAATTATGGCTGCATGGTCACTTGATGTCTCAGCTGTAAGATGTTTTATTTTACAAGCACTCAGTAGCACTCTAAGTAACATTTTCAGAATGATATATTGTTGGGGTGCTGCCATTACTCTGGCACAAGGAAGGTGAGATTTGGGAAAGCCGCTCCAACATCTGCTCTTCCTCCAGCCTGGGACAGGGTAGCAGCACCCTCCCCTGCAGGCACTGCCATTGCTTCAGTGCAAGGAAGGTAGCCGCATGGAGGCTCCTGAAACACCCCGTCC